TTGTGCACCACCTTGAGGTGGTACTCTCATTCACTATTGAGTCCGTAACCACATCCGTTACCACATCGTGATCACACTCATGACCTTGCCCATGACTCACTCACAGCTGCCACTCCCTGCACACTCCTTACCCTGCTCACAGTCATGTCTACCACCTAAAGGTTGAGGTGGTTGTTCCGCTCACTTGTGGGGCCCATCTTGCTTAGTCGTGATTGTAAGCCTACTCACCAATGTTTGTGTCCCCCCCCCGCACCCACCCTGATGGTGGTTGTTCTTCCTATTGAGCGCTTGTTGCCTCATAGTCGAGTTCATTGGTCGGGACCATGGATGGCACAGACGGAGGTTTCTCTCGCCTACTACTGCTCGAAGCGCCTCGGTCACTGCAGGCTGCAGCTACTATGCTACGGAGTATGAATGCGGCTGCTGCTTTGCTCTACCTGCCTGACCTACAACAGACGCTGTGACTTGAACCCAGGCAGGTCCGAGGCTGTTACTTACCTGTGGGGGTGCTACTACTTGGGGCCAGTACTGCTGGGAAGCACTGAGTAGTGCATTTGAAGCAGCTGCTGCGGCTTGAATATGACTACCTAAACTGAGGATGTTCAACCCAACCAATAGTCCGGGAATACCATTGTTGCTTGGTCACGGCCACAGTGGGCCACTTTTTGAAGCCGCCATGCCAGCAGCGGGCGCCTCTGCCTAGGCTTGTTATCCTTCAGTTAAAGATCATCGTGGCTATGTAAGTTGTGGTCGCTCTTGGGTGCCTCTGCCTAGGCTTATTATCCTTCAGTTGAAGATCATTGTGGCTATGTAAGTTGTGATCGCTCTTGCAGTTCTCCATGGTATCTCCAAGCTCGTATGTTGCCGCTACTGAAGGTGTCGCTCCCTGAGGTTTGGTTATCATTGTTCGGACATGGCAACTTGCTGAAGCCTGGTGAAGAAGCCTGGGGGATGTTGGCATCGGTCGCCGTGGACAACTGCTACTGCACGCTTAAAAGTGGCTGCTGCTTGAGGCCGCGGCCCGTGCTCAAGCTGTCGCTTGGGAGCAGAGGTGACCCGCTGAGAGGTGGGCAGCCTGGCAACACATAAGGGGTAAGCTGGTGTCCAACTTCAGCCACATCGCTACGGGTGGCGCTCACCTCTGGCTCGAGAATGTGTCGGGACACCAAGGCCCTCTCTGAAAGGACTCGACTCGATCAAGCCTCTCTTGTACCTCGAGTGTCTGAGAGTCTCTCCGTCCCTCTTGCCCCCTCGTTCTCTTCTAGGCTTGTTCTGGAAGAGGAAAGCGGCTGGTGGGATTGCAACCCATCCAGACTGCACAAGATCACGCGTTGTTGGAACCACGCCCACCGATTGCGGCAGCTCCATCGGAGTCCAGGAGGGGCTATGGAGCAGGGAACTCACAGGTGGGCCGCAATTTCCCCAACTACACCCTACTATCCGACTCCCTAAAAGCCTGCAACCTTTTAGTATTGCGTGAGAATCAACTAGGCTATACGTGAAAGGAGGAGAAGAGTCCCAGTAATATTCAATAATGCACAAAGTCTCTTCCTGCCCACTTCCTCCTCAGGCATTACGCCCCCGTCGCCACCTCAGCAGTGCAGTTTCTCTCTTACATCCTCTGGCAGTTTCAGTGTGCAGGTCACAGCAGGGCGACCATCCTCCAGCCTCTTCAGCAGCCAATCAGGGAGGATGGTGCAGATCTTCCTCTCCTTCGTGGAGATGAGCAGCAGATCATACATGATGTTGCCAGGTAAGTCCAGGTAAGCGTCCACTCAAACCCTCTCTAGTCTCACAGCCTTGATCATCGCCTACTCGCCCAACCTCAGCACCAATGTCTAGAGCTATGGCTGCAATGGCAACTCTAACATAATCTCTCTGATGCTGGCGCCCTCCCAGCAGCACTGGCGCCAGCATAAACTCCAGCAACCTCACGATACCATACTAGCATCAAGCCAGCGCAAGGCAGAACACCTTCCCCAGTGTCTGGCCGTTCTTTTGTAGCGTTGGCCAATGTAGACTGGCTTGGACCAGTCTTCCCTTTGTCGGCATCGACGCTTCAGATTTGCTCACTTTCCATGGCCTGGATGCAGCTTCGCAGCAGCGGTAGCTTTTCCCATTCGGGACTGGAATCTTCTGGATACCTGTGATGGGCATCTGATCGACGGCCAAGGCTGGCCAACAGGCTGAGTTTGACTTTGGGCCTGGAATCCCGTGCTGCGGTTGACTCTTGATTTTCCAAGAGTGAACTGTCTCACGTTGGGGTACTAGACACAGCTTTTGACTCACATCCTGTTACTCCTTGACCCTAGGAACTTTCTCAGACATTTCTGAGGCTTGGGACGTGACTTTTGACACCTGTTTTTGGCCTTTGACCAAAAGTGACGACCCTTGCTTGCGTCTGGGCAGATCTGAACCAGGTTTATCACATACAAAATATTTGCTGTGAAAAGTTCGACTTTTGGATTTGGAATGAGAGTGTGAAGCGTAAAGAAAGAGAGAGAATCATTCCCCTCGTTCTCAGCATCCTATCTATTCTTCTCTTTTCTTCTTTTTCTCCCTCTCCTTCCTCTCTTCCTTCCTGTTTCTAATAAATGTCGAATTCCGTTGCCATATGAATCATTCACCTCGTTCTCAGCGTCCCTATCTATTCTTCCCTTTTCTTCTTTTTCTCTCCTCCTTCCTCTCATCCTTCCTGTTTCTCCTCGTTTTATCTCTTTTTCTTCTTCTCTTTCTTTTACAGTTGCGAGCGTAGCAGCGACGGACATCCAATTGTTCTGTTCTGATACTGCTCCTGGAAAATCACCAGCAAACCTACAGCCCTAGGCTACCAGCCGGGCCGTCCGGTCACCCTGTTTTCCCAGGCGGGGCCGGCCATGCAAGGACCAGCAAAAAAAAAAAAAAAAAAAAAAAAAAAAAAAA